AGTGCTTCATTCTCTCCCTCCACACTCTTCTGGACCACAGACAGGCTGGTCTTCACCAGGGTCTGCCCAGGCAGCATCCCCCTTTCACTTTGGCTGATGATCTGTGATTCTAAGTTTTCAACACCCAGCCTTTCCCACCAAAAGCAGGCACTGTAACATCTTCATTGGAGCAAGTGTGGGCCTGTGCACATCTGGCCATCTTTGCTCCCTTGTGCCAGGCTCTGTAGCTGTGACCAGTGGCTGCTTACTTCCGCCTCAGCCCCTTGTTTTCTCTGATGCTCAGGTTGGGTGTTGGGGGAAGGGCACCCCTGGAAACTTAGTTTACCACACCTGGAAAGGTATGGTGTAGCACAGGTGGGTCTGGTTGATACTTTCCCTTTCCTCCCGAGCACAAGCAGACTAGCTGACTAGAAAACAGTGTTGGCACACCTTCCTTGTTCCCAATCCATCACTCACACCTCCTATGGCCCGTGTGTAGTCCATTTGGAGGGACTAGGGTTAAGACAAGACAGTTTGTCTTGAGTTCTTCAAAAGGCAATGAGGCTCAATCTTACCTCCTCCCCTCCCAGTCACTGAGTCCAGCAGTACCCTGTTCAGAAGACTATCTCCAGAGCCCTGGATCCCAGGCTCCCCTGCCTCCCTTCTTCCCAAGCTCTCTCTCTTTCTCTTGCTGTTCTCCATCTCCTGTGGTCTGGCTTCCATTCTCACACCCTTTGTGAATTTGTGTACTCCCCTCTGCTGAGGATACCAATGTGCTATCTCAAAAACCACCAAATTAAAACAAAAATAGTGGCCACATTCACAGAATCAGTGGTCTACTGCTGAAACCTGGGTGACCTGAGCTAGAAGAAGTCCTGCGGTGGTCCCAGCTAGTTTGTTGGTCCATGGCTGATTATTTCAATAGCCTGGTTGAACCATCCTTATCTAGAGTGAGTTAAGGAGGAGCATTGGTGGGCTGAAGACAGTGAGAAAAAGTCTAGGCCCACAAGGATGGGATGCCATGAGCCCTGGTGATCCCCGTGCTTGCTTGGTGCCTGTCCCCACTTCTCAGCTAGGCTTGCAGCCAGCTGCTTGTCGGGGGGGGGGGTTCCTTAGTTAACTTTCTTCCCTTTTTGAATATAATTTTTAAAAAATTTATTATTTTTAAATTTATGTTTACGCATGTATTGCCTGCATGTAGGTAAGTGCACATATGTCATGCAGTGCCCACGGAGGACAGAAGAGGCTGTCGGATCCCCTGGAACTGGAGTTATGGACAGTTGTTAGCTGCCATGTTGGTGCTGGGATTTGAACCCAGGTCTTCTGCAAGAACAGTGTTCTTAACCACCACGCTCTCTCTCTAGCCCCTGAATATTTATAATTATTACAGAAGTAACACATTAACTGTAACACTTAGAAAACCAAGGGGAGCAAGTAGACATCTTTTCCTTTGCCAAACGCTGTGGAGGAAGCACCAGCACATCTTCATGTTTGTGTGCATTTTCCTCATTTTGGGGTCTGTAAATGTTTGCATCTTTAACAACTATATGATATAGTAATGTTTTTCTAATCTTTTTTTTTCCCTTGATGCTTTAAAATGAATTTCTTTTCAAGAGTGTTCTGTATGGTTTGGAGAATGATAGCTGTGCTTCAGTGTCCAATGCGTGGGTTTATCAGAAAAGTAGCAAGCAGGAGTAAAAGAAAGAAGTGAGCAGCTGACAGAGAAAAGCAGCAGTCAGCAAAACATCCTGAGGTGCTCACGGCATCCAGCAGACGACCGGAGAAGCCTGAGAGAGCACGGAGGTGAGAGCATCAAATCGGGGGTTTGCAAACGTGCAGCACAAACTGACTGGGGAAGTTGAGGCAGTCAGCCGGAGTTCACAAGAGAGTTCTGGTCTGAGGACCCTTTCTGTCCTTTCCACAGATGACAGAGCTTCTCCCTTTATCCCACCACAGGCATTGTTTTCTATTATGAGCTAAACCATAGTAACCTGGGTTAGAACGAGTTTCCTTTCTGCCTGTTCTCAAGGACACAATGTCTCTAATGCCCTCAGCTCCTTGCTGTTTCCCTTTCCCTGTTAAGAGAGTTAGGGAGCCAGCTTCTTAGGACAGGAGGCTTTGGAAGACACTCGACATAAGCATGCTTGGTTCTGTAAGGGGGGAGGACTGCTTCCAGAGCCAACCTCTCAGTGAGCTCAAAGAGCACACGATTCACCAATATAAATTACGGGGAGAAAAAGCAGACAACAAACTCCATGTCATTCTGTCATTACATTTATCGTGTGTACAGATGGAGGACAACTTGCAGGAGTTGGTTCTCTCCTACCACGTTGGCTCTGGATTGGACTTGGGGCCTCAGGACTTGCTGTGTGGAGTCATCTTGTGGACCACAATCATTCCCACTGTTTTCTGTGTGGGTGTGGGTGAACTTTTAGCTAGACTTCTACTGACAGGCTCACTTATTAGAACTTGAACCACTCATTGAAATATGCAAAATTTAAGGTTTCATTTCTGTGTGTAAATTGTCTGAAAGCTTCCACCGGTGACACTTGGTTCATGTATAATGGAGTTTATTTCCTCACATTTGCCTTTATTAACAGATAATGGCATTGCCTTTCTCCTATTATTACGGAACAGAACATTCTGTCATGTTTACTGGGCGTTCCTTCTTTTGTTTTCTAGTCTTTGCCTCTACTTGTTTGGCCTGGAATGCTGTCTTTGTCTCAGCTTCCAAGGCCTCTTCCAGTGAGAATCAGCTTTCATGAAGCCTTCCTCACTTTTAGCTTTGTGTCCTGCTGCCTTAGGTGGGGCAGCTACTACCTGCAATATGCTTTCCAGGCAAAGCCTCCCTGACAGAGGCATAGTTCTTAAATCCACTTCGAAAAGGGACAACCCTCCATCAAGCTACACCTAGATTCCATGTGCATTATTTCTTTTCCTTTGCAGGGTTCTACCTTGCTCTTCCCGAGCAACCCCTGGCCCCTGGCCCCAACCCCCTGCCCAGCAGAGCTCTCATCTCACCTCCTGCCCCATGGGTGTGGGCTGGCCCCTGGGTGTCCTGTTCGATCCGGTTGCATCACCAAGCTCCCACATTCACTCTGTCATGGTTCACTGTCTTACTGCTGAGTAATATTCCCAGGCACTTCACAATCAGGGCTTGCCCATTTCTTTGCTGATTGTACTTTTAATTAACAGTACTCAGTACTTCCCTTTATGATTGCTGGTCTGCATTCTATTCCAAAACATGACAGAAATGCCCACTAGGAGCTTTTTTGTGCTTAGAACTTTCTTCTATGAGATGAGGTAGAAATTCATCCTTTCAAACGATTAGCAGTTTGCTTTCACACTATCCTCTCCCTGATCTGAAAAGCCACTTTCATTGTATTTTAACTCCTTACAGGAGTAATATTACAAATAATTAAGTTGGCCAGGCACAGGCCTCGGCCCAGGTTGCCCCCAGAGACAGGGGAGAGGATCATGGCAGCTTTCATGCTAGTGTCCTTTCACTTTCTGGAGTGCTTTCTCCATCATTAGCTGTCCTTTTGCCTGTCCTCAAACGTTCATCTTTCCGTATGAACTGTTCCACAACTGTGCCATTCCCAACTTGTTTTGCAATTTCCATCTATTTAAGGTGTTCTCTGGTTAATGTGACTGGGAATTTTCTGCCATGCAGCTAAAATATTTAAAGTACTTAGCCCAATGCCTACATGTTCAGCACACTAAATACTGCTGTTAGTGTATCTGATTTTTTCCTCCCTCCCTCAGTGCTGCTGATCAAACCCAAGGCCTTGAGCATGTATCTCGCCATATGGCCGAGACTGGCTCTATCTAAAGCCCCCAGACACTGGGATTATAGATAACTGAACCTAGGGCCTGGTGTGTGCCAGTCAGGTGATCTACACCTTCAGTCCTAGTTTATTTTTTAATTGATGGGCTTCTAATCCATGTCCTTTTTTTTTTTTTTTAAATTTGGGGCATTCTTCCTCTCTGATCTAGAGATTGATTTTCAACACCTGTTCTCATTTTGCAATCAGAACTCTGTGAAGCCCTAAGGAAGCCCAGGGTGGTCCCGCCCCTTAAGCCTCTCTCCTAAATTAGGCCGGCCTGCAGGAGCCCTTCCAAGCATCAAACTGAGAGAACTGATCTTGGGACTGGCTGTGCCTCCCTCTCCCGGAGGGCCTTTCATGGCTCCAGGTGAGGTCTAACCGGCCCAGCAATGCTCCTTGGCTGGAACAGAATCTGTTTGCAATGAATGCGTCTAGACTATGCTCCAGGACGTTCTCATGTGACTCGCTCAGGCTCATCTCCCGTTCAGTACGGGGACAGTCTCCCGATCACTGCAGGTATCGCGGACTTGCTGTTCACCACCGGAACGACCACCGGAACGTCTGCCTGCTGCACCGCACACCTGGGTGGTCACGTCTGCGCTTCCGCAAACCCATCCCCTGGGCTTCACAGCTGCGCCGTGCCAGGGTCCGTCTGCCTTCTTCCCGGGAACCTGGCTTTCTAATGACTAAATTAACGGGATGACCCACTGCACGTCGCAAAACGAACAGTTTTACACCCCCCACCACCCCGGTCATTTATCAAGCACTGTCCCTGGGGACGCTCCACCGCAAGATCGGGCCGACAACTGGCCGGCGCACCCGCATCCGTGCACCGGTGCACACCGGAGTGCGCGTAGCTTCTCCCGGGACGTGGGCTTCCGGAATCACCGCGCACACCCGGAGGGACGCTGCACCCGGGGGCGTGGCCGGCTATGCTCAAGCACGGCCCCGGACGCTTCGCGAAGCCCAGCGGACCCGGCCGCAGCGTCGCTCCGTATCCCAGCACACCCTGCGGCCGCGACCGCGAGCGCGCCGCAACCCCGGAGTTCCCAGCTCCCACGGCCGTGCCGCGCCACTTGGCCCAGGCCGCACCCCGAAGCCGCGCGCCGGCCGCCGGGCAGGGCGGGGCCCGACGCGCCTGCGCACTCCCGCAGCGCCCGGCGTCCTCCGCACGCCACCCACGTGACCCGCGCCTGGCCCAAGATGGAGGCTGCAGCCAGGCCTGGCTGGGCCCCTGCTTCAGCCCGGTCTCTTTGGCGCCTCCTTGGAGTGTGGGACCAGAGCGCAGGCACACGGTACTGACCCCGGGCCGCGGAGAGGGCGGCCGAGTTAGTCTGGCCACGGCTCCCAGCCTGTACCAGTCCCCTCGCCTTGCGCTTTCTCCTCAGCAAAGCGCTCAGCGCTGGCGCCTCGAGAGTCCTCGGTACGCCCCGCCCCCCAGATTGACACTGCCTCGAGCCAGTGGGAGTCGGAACGTTTGCGGGAGGGCGGACAGGGGCGGGGCCTCTGGGCAGTGCCGCGGAGGTGGGGCCCGCGACTGGGCGGCTGAGGGGCGGGCATAGGCCTCTCGGGCCAGTGGGAGAGCGTCTGAGCGCTCAGGGGGAGGGAGGAGGCGGGGCCGAGCCGTAATTGACGCGTTCTTCGTTAGAAACCAGGTGGGGGGCGGGGCCCGCGAGGGGAGGTGATGCAAGGCCGTTGCGACCAATGCCTAGCGAGCCGCCGGCGGGAGGGGCGGGGCCGGGGCGGCTGACGGGCGTAGGGCGCGGCCTATCCCCGCGCGGCTCGGCGCTCGAGGGGGAGCAGCATCATGGTTCAACGTGGGTCAATTTTTTGTGAATGAGGAGGGGAGGTTGTGGGGCAGCCGCCGCGGAGCACCGTCCCCGCCGCCGCCGCCGCCGCCGCCCGAGCCCGAGCCCGAACGCCCACCCGCCCTC